GGAGCTGAGACGCACACTTTCCGCTTGCGTGGGAGGTGGCAGGGGGATGCTTGTGGTGGGTGATGATGTTGTGTGATGTAGGAGGCGGGGTGGGAAGATGTGATGGTGTGGTTTAGCTGCCGGCTGTCTGCCGCAAATTTTCGTGGATGCGCATTTGTCCTAATAGACCCATGCGGGGGGTGAATGTTCGGACGCAGTGAGGGCAGTTGAGGCGGCTGCGTCTGGTGTATGTTGGTTCTCCAGTCTCTGTACGATGGATTCGCAGGTGACCGACCAGGTCGATGTGTGAGGTGAATGCACGGTGACAGTGAGGATAAGAAAAGTCGGCGTTGTCAGTGTCGGCTTCGGAGATGGTGGCAGTGGTCGAGCTGCCGATGGTGGACGCGCTGGGCGATGAGATGTTGATTGAGATAGACATAGTAGATGTGTAAGATGTGTTTATTGTGGTGGAATTGATGGTGGTAGGCGTGCTGCGCGGCCGGATGTGGGTTGAACTAGGCATGGTGGATGTGCAAGATGTTCTAGATGTGTCGAGACTGCGGTCAATTCCGCTCACGTGGACGGGCCCGTGACCGAAAAGGCCCATGCGGTGAGCGCATGTGCGGGGCAGCGTGGACAGTAGAGACGAATGAGGCGAGTGTAGGTTAGTGCTCGGGGCACTGGTTCGCCAGTCTCAGTGCAGTGGATTCGCAAGTGACTAACCAGGCCGATGTGTGAGGTGAAGGTGCGGTCGCAATGAGGACAGGTATGCATCAAGTCCCCACCGCTGGGGTTTTTGGTGGGAAGAGCGGTGATGTTTTTTGGGGTGTCAGGATTGTGCGTAGTAGTGGTGGGTACAGGAGCCGCCGTAGCGGATGTTCAGGCAATGGTGGAGGAGGTGGTGCTGGTGGTGGGGGAGGATGAGGATGAAGAGGAGAAGAAGAAGAAGAAGAAGAAGAAGAAGAAGAAGGAGGAGGAGGAGGAGGAGGAGGATGGTAAAGGGAGTTCGGGAGAGGGGTCAATATTAGTTGTCGGCGTGGAGGGTGAGGCAGAGCTGGACGAGTATATTGAAGCTGGTGTAGTCCGGGTGTTGCAGTTGGTACGGAAATGTTCTACAAGGCTGATTGATGCCCAGAACGTCCGCTGGCAGCGTGATCAGATCGGGGTGATTAAGCGTTGGCGTTGAGAGGTGGGTGCAGAGCGGATTTGCGAGCCTTTCGTTTGGCTTTGGCGGCGTTGATGCGGTTGTCTTCATAGATCGCTGCGCCTGTCTTCATTGTTCTCTCCCAGGAGAGTCGGTCTCGAGCGAGGTCTTCCCAGTTTGCCGGGTTGATCTGCAGACGTTTCAGGGAAGTCTTCAGAGTGTCCTTGTGTCGACAAACTTGGCCTCCTTTTTGGCGGAAACCCTTGGCGATATCGTCGTAGATGAGTCTTATGGGTAGCCGCTCGTCGTCCACCCTCTCCAACGCAGTTTCGGTTGTCTCAGCATGGCGTATATGCTGAGTATTCCCGTCCGCTTTATTACATCCGTGTCCGGCATCCGGTCCTGCCATCTCAATTTCAGTTTCCGTCGAAAACAGCTGAGGTGGAAAGGGTTGAGTCTTCGCGCCGGCTTCTTGTACACCGTCCAGGTCTCCGCTCCATACAGCAGTGTTGGCAGGATTACCGCCTTATGCATCTTCAGTTTGGTGTTGAGGTGGAGATATGGCGATTCCAGACTGCGTTTGCAGACGGCCGAAGGCTTGGCTGGCTTTGGAGATCCGGCTAGGCACTTCATAGTCGATCTTGGTATCGCGGGAGGAGGTGCTGCCCAGATACATGAAGTCGTCCACGATTGTAGTTGGGTGCTGTTCACGGGGATTTGGGCTGCAACGTAGGCAGTGCCGGGTGGCAGTTGGTGCATAATCACAGTTTTCTCCGTGTTGATGACCAGGCCGAAGTTCTCGCAAGAGGCGTCGAAGAGGTCCATGATCATTTGCATGTGCTCTCCCGAGGTGGCTTTGAGGGCGCAGTCGTCGGCGAACAGAAGTTCATGGACGGTAGTTATGGATACACGCGACTGGAAGTGCATCCGCCGGTGATTTTGGGGGCTAGCCGTCCGTCCTGTAGGCGATGCGGATTCCAGGGCGTTCCTCACGACAGGCGACTATAAGTATGGCAGATAACATAAAACTGAAGAGGGTAGGCGCGAGGACGCAGTCCTGCTTCACTCCGTTGGTCACTGCAAATGCCTCTGGGATAGCTCCGTTGTCCTTGACGCGCGCCATCATACCGTCCTGGCGTCGGAGATGGTGGAGGGACGTTTGAGGACTTCTCGGAAGTGCTCGGCCCATCGTCGAAAAACTAGTATATTCTCGGTGGGTAGAGTACTGCCGTTGGCGCTGAGAAGAGGGCAGTTGTTTTGGCTGGCAGATCGTAGACATCCCTGATCATCGAGACGAAATCCTTCTATTCTTTGCGGTCCGCTTACCCTTGGATCTCTTCGGTCTTGCGAGCCATCCAAGGGTCCTGCATCTCGTGAGCAGCTGTTGCTCAAGGCGGCGACTACGGTAGAATGCTGCCTTGCTGTCGTCGGTGGGGTGGGTGACGTAGGCTTTGTGCAGTCGGTTTTTCTCGGTCAGCAGGTTGCTGATGGCGGTGTCGTTGTTATCGAACATGACCGCGGACAGCCGGAGCCGTCGAACGGATGATGTCTCTTAGATGATAACAACAGTCCTCCGTGAAGGCGTTCACGTCAGTGGTGGCGTCGGCTGGCTAGCCGTTGAGTCAGCTCATTGCTAAAATGGAGATGGTGGGCAGGCAAAGGCAACAAAGCGATATTCAGCTTACCTGGGGGTCGCTTACCTTGAGGTTCCCCGAAAGGCTGTAGGCTAATCCTCTTCTTGGAAATGACGAGGCGATAGTCAATTCACTCGTCGGCACCCGGGATCGCCTTTGTCACCAGCGTGTCCCGATGGTCTCCCCTCCGGACGAGGACAGAGCCCAGCAGGTGTCATTGTCGCGACCGAGGGTGCATCCAGGTGGCCTTCTCTCGCATCGGGAGGCGGAATTAGGTGTTGACCAGGATGAGCCGGTATTCTGTGCAGGTTCGTAGGAAGAGCAGGTCATTGTCATTGAAGCCGTCCAGGTTACGGGTACCTAGCACTCCTCTCCAGGCAGCATAATCGGTGCCGACGCGGGCTTTGAAGTCACCAAGGACAATCAACTTATCCGCCTTCAACACAGTCGCCAGGGGCGTAGGCACTGCCGATGGTGACGAATTTGCCTCCCTGGAAAGGCAATCGGAGACTCATCAGGCGATCGTTTATATCCTGCTGCAGACGGGGTAGTCGTCCTACGATGTCATTTCGGTTGTCAAAGGCGACGCCCGCGTCCCGTCGCGAGCAGAGAAATTCAACAGAATGGCATTTAGCTTACAATAAGGACGGACACAAACAAGCAGACAAAGAGCAAGCAGGCAAGAACAAGCAAAAACAAAGATGGCAGAGCAGCGTTTGCTTACCTGGGGCACACTTATTTAGTGGCCTCCCACGGCGTTGCAGATGGAGTTTCGTCCCAGGGATACCGAGGCGGTGATCCATCCGGCCAGCGGGTCGAGTTACCGTGTGCGGAGATGCACACGCGGATACCCTCACCTGGTTTAGCCCGCCGGTCAAGGCGGTTACCGGGGTGTGGCTGCTAGGTAGAGCTTAGCTTCGGGAAGCCACAGGTGAGAGATGGGTGCCAGTTCATGGACGCTGGGCGTAGTCAACACCTGCAAGCAAGTGAGCGACCTACAACGACCGTCACGCGGACTCACAACTGGACACTCCTACTGGACATACTAGCGACATCTATTAATCTCTAAGGGGAAGAAACGGTCAATTGAGTAGGATGCATGTGCTTAAGTGGTCTTCGACGCTCATTTTATCCTGAAGGTATCGTTTCTTGTGGTTGCTTGCCGATAAAAAAAGTCTCAAAGGCGAAGAACTCAAGCACGCTTAAAACTGAAAAATCAATAATTAAAAAGGTTACATAGAAGTTTAAGTTATGCGAAGTTACATGACTTATAAAAGATCCAGTTCTAGGCTGTCAGAAGACTCTGACACAGGCGATCTGTCTTCTGTGGCCAACGCCGACCCCAACGTCTCCCCAACCTCCTTATGGCAGGGTGTGTGAACAACGTACCCGACGTGCTCACAGCCTACGTCCCCCCTCTCCCTCGTCCCCTTGACCCAATGACCACGGCACGCCGACCACTCCAGAGCACGCCTCGTTAAGCGAGTGGTGTGGGAACGATGGATGTTAATTGTCCCTGAATCACTTATAAGCCATGTAACTCAGCATAACTTAAACTTCTATGTAACCGTTTTGGCCTGATGCAGAGTTACCAAAAACACGTGTTTGCCAAACTGACTGTTAAATTAAAAAGTGCATTTATTCTTATAGATTGTTATATTTTCCTAAATTTTGAGCACTCAACGTATTAAAAAGACAATTAAAAGTCTTCCGTCATTTTTCTGTGAAGTGTAATCACTACATCCATGAGATACATGAATTTGTTGAAACGCGTAGGCTCGTTTCTAAAGCATATCAGCTTAAACGCACGTATATTCCAACGAATATCTCTAAGAGGCTCCTAGTTTATGATTTTCCTCAACAGCGCAGTTTCTTATCACGACTTTTAATGCTGAAGAATGCGCGACCACCGAAAAACTCTAGATAGTACATGATACGTCCGTTGTAACTGTCTGGCTAGTGGGGTCGACACATGCCCCCTAAGAGGGTCCAAAATTTAAAACCGATACGCCATTATGAGAAGCCTTGCTTTTAAATTTGCAATGCTATTTTAACATCTCGAGTAATGATACGCAAATTTTTGAGCATAGTTCGGCTATTTCATTAAAGGGAAACAAGACTAAGTCTTCCTCAATTTCCATTGTTTTTCGTTATTTGCCAACTAGTTGCTAACAACAAACGTGAACGCATTTACTTGAAAATGATAAATATCAGAATCCGCCTAGCTAGATGAATAATGCACACGAGTATCTCAAACTTTTCTAAACCACGTATGTAGCTATAAATTAAATTTCTATTTCATTAGAAAAAGTAAAAACACAAGCAAGTTCTTTGCCTACCGGTACTTCGTGAAGTACATCGTCCTTTCACTAAAGCAATAAAAGAGTCGCAACCATGGGCCATTTCTTTCTTAAACCGTCAATTAATGAATTCTGGTCATCACCCGAACTAGCTGTGGGGCTTGTGACGTTTTATAATTATTCGGAGATATATCTCACATTAACAGAGACGTTGTCTTCCACTAAGGGAGCAATGGGCGCAAAAGCGAGGACAAGCGGACGTCATGGCACACAGTATATTTCTAAGACTAACTTTGACGAAAAAGCACTGAATTCGCCCGCACCAGGAAGCGAATCATACCCTTTGTAAAGAAGCCAAATTTGCATATTCTTAGCTTAATTTTACTCACAACAAGCGTGCTGGGCCACTGCTTCCTACTTCAGTTCCCTGCGGTACCCAGCGACCATGCCCTTGAAAGAGACCAGTACCCTTTTGTTCTAGCTTCACGTTAACGAGTGGATTAAGATGAGAAAAGTTCACCCATGACAGCTTGGTACTGCTGCTGAGCAGAAAAGCGATTAGTGCGTTAGAAAAAGTACACGCAATGCACGCTTGCTATCATCAATAGGACTCATTTTAACTAATGCTGGACATTAAAAGTTTTCGGCAACCTCATGTCCACGCAAAATTGGCCAAAACGTTGATAGTAAAATACTAAGGGTGTGTGAACAAGTAATCTGTGTGTGATATTTAAAACTTGATAAAATATGAAGACAAACAATTCTGAGGAGTCAAGATGACTAGCTGATATAGTACCGGACTCAGAAATACTACAACTATTCTCTAACCTGCAATTTAGGATCTGCTATTTGCACACACACGTTAGACGACATTGAAAAGCCACTCTTCACATTGACTTCTAGGGCCAGAGTAAGGTCATTTTTACGTACAGAAAGGAAGACAGTTTAATTACAGCCTAATTAATATCAGTGCATATGCATATATTTAGGAACATGACATTCTTTGGAAAGTAAAAATCTATTGCAAAAAGTTTCGAGGCTAGTCCTCCCACCGGTCGTCAGATTATGGGTGTACAAAAACAATTCATTGTTTGACTTTGTCTAGCAAAGAATTCTATAATCGGTCAACGTCTGTGCCAATACGTGTTAATTGCACTTTGTCACCTCTTCGGGATTGGTTGCGGCAGTTTGAATTTGTCATTAACGGTTTTGTAAGTGGCATCTGGATCGATATGGTGATTAATGTATGCCCCATCGGAGCGCCCTGCTTCCTGAAATTCGCAGCCCTTCCATATTGGGCAGGCGCAAACGATGCGAGTGTTTTCCGACGTAAATTTGTGTCCAGTGTCTACTGTGTGCATGGCCAGTTAAGAAAGATGGTAGCGTCTCTTCACCGCTAACTGATAATCATGTACACGGGTCGAGACAGATTTCCCACATTTGGCCATAATAGACGGAATCATAACCGGAACATGGGATTTTGTGGACCAACCCTTTTCTATAGAGACAGCCAACCTTGTCGTTAGGGTGTACGCGCGGTGTGTATAGGGTAGTTGCCGGGGTGTAGGGGTGTCCAGCGGTGGGTTCACGCGATGGTCGTAGTGGTCGTTCACTTGCTTGCAGGTGAGACTACACCTAGAGTCCATTTGTTGGCACCCAACTCTCACCTGTGGCTCCACGTAGCTGGGCTCTGTTCAGCGGCCACACCCCGGGCAACCGTCTCGACCGGCGGGCTAAACCAGGTGAGGTCGCTGTGCACTTGTGCCGAGTGCACAGCGTACCGCGGACTCCGCTGGATGGCTGGTCGGATGAAACACTGCGCCGGCATCGCCGAGACGAGGCTCTGCCTGGTACGCCGTTGGATAACTGCTGCCGGGACGGGTCTCTGCATCGCCTTCGCTGAGACGCGTCCACCCTCGCCGACGGAGACCGCGGACTCTCGGCACATGCGGTCGTTCTCCACTACGATCATAAAAGTCGTGGCCCCATAGTGGGATTCGGTCGCGCCAACCAGGCACATGGGCAGCCCGATTCAGGGGCGGCACTGCCTGCCCCCACGAGGGGAAGGGCCTAGAGAAGGTGGTCTGAAAAATGCTGGGCACCACGCCGTCTGCAGGCCAGCCAAGGCCGCAGATGCCATCAACACGGTCGAAACAATCAAAATCGAAACAACAACAATACCAATTACAACAACAACAACCATGCTCATTCTCCTCATCCTACCTCTTCTTCCTCTACCTCCGTCTATTCTTCTGCCTCTTCTTCTCCTTCGTCACTTTCTTCTCCATCTCCTTCCCGTCGCCCCACTCGTTGTCACCAGACTGGCAGGGTGAGCCCGCTCACTCTGGCAGCCTGGAATGTTCGTTCCCTTTTAGACAATCCGAGGAGCAACCGACCGGAACGGAGGACGGCGCTAGTGGCACGAGAACTGGCGCGCTACAAGGTGGACATCGCCGCACTCAGCGAGACCCGATTCTCCGAACAAGGCCAACTGGAGGAGGTGGGTGCCGGTTACACCTTCTTCTGGAGTGGTCGACCCAGGGCAGAGCGACGAGACGCGGGTGTCGCCTTCGCCATCCGGACCGACATTGTGGGACGACTGCCCTGTCTACCGCAGGGAATCAACGATCGCCTGATGAGTCTCCGCCAGCCTCTCCGGCGAGGGGGCAAGTTCGCCACCATCATCAGCGCCTACGCTCCGCCGATGACCAGCCCCGACGCCGTCAGAGACAAATTCTATGAGAACCTGCACGCCCTCTTGGCGACTGTGTCGAAGGCGGACAAGTTGATTGTCCTTGGCGACTTCAATGCCCGCGTCGGCACAGACCATACTGCCTGGAGGGGAGTGCTGGGTCCTCACGGTCTCCGCGCCTCCAACGACAACGGCCTGCTTCTCCTCCGCACCTGCGCAGAACACCGCCTCATCCTGACGAACACGTTCTTCTGTCTGCCGGAGCGAGAGAAGGCCACCTGGAGGCATCCTCGGTCGCGCCAGTGGCACCTGCTGGACTATGTCCTCGTCCGGAGGCGAGATCAGCGGGACGTGCTGGTGACGAAGGCGATCGCGGGTGCTGACGGGTGGACCGACCATCGCCTCGTCATCTCGAAGATGCGTATTCGCCTACAGCCTCGCAGGAGACCACAAGGTAAGCGACCCCCAGGTAAGCTGAATGTCGCTTTGTTGTCTTTGCCCGCTCATCATCTCCATTTCAGCAATAAGCTAGCTCAACGGCTAGACAACCTTCCAATCGCTGCCGCCGACGACGCCGCCGCTGCCGAGAACGCCTCCGTGGAGAACCGCTGGTGTCAACTGCGAGACACAGTCCAGTCGACGGTGCTCGCCGTCGTCGGTCGCGCTCCCCGCCAACACCAGGACTGGTTCGACGATAACGACGCTGCCATCAGAAATCTGCTAGCTGAGAAGAACCGTCTACACAAAGCCTACGTAGATCACCCCACTGAGGACAACAAAGCTGCCTTCTACCGCAGTCGCCGACAGCTTCAGCAACGACTGCGCGAGATGCAGGACGCCTGGACTGCTCGCAAAGCTGAGGAGATCCAAGGTTACGCGGACCGCAACGAATGGAAGAACTTCTTCTCTGCGATCAAAGCTGTCTACGGTCCGCCGACGAAGGGCACTGCTCCTCTCCTCAGCGCCGACGGCAGCACTCTCCTGACTGAGAAGACGCAAATCCTACAGCGATGGGCCGAGCACTTCCGAGGCGTCCTCAACCGCCCTTCCGTCATCTCCGACGCCGCCATCGCCCGCTTGCCGCAAGTGGAGACCAACGTGGACCTCGACCTCCCACCATCTCTCCAGGAAACGATCAGGGCCGTGCAGCAGTTCTCCAGCGGGAAAGCACCCGGATCGGACGCAATCCCTGCTGAGGTCTACAAGCACGGAGGTCCCATACTGATGGATCACCTGAATGCGCTCTTCCAGGAGATGTGGCGTCAAGGTGAAGTCCCGCAAGATTTCAAGGACGCAACTATCGTGCATCTCTACAAGCGAAAAGGGAATCGCCAAGTCTGCGACAACCACCGCGGCATCTCCCTACTGAACATCGCCGGGAAGATCTTCGCTCGCATCCTGCTCAACCGCCTCAACAACCATCTGGAACAGGGCCTTCTGCCGGAAAGCCAATGCGGCTTCCGTCGTCATCGTGAGACCACGGATATGATCTTCTCAGTCCGCCAACTTCAGGAGAAGTGCCAGGAGATGCGGACCCACCTGTACTCTACCTTCGTGGACCTGACGAAAGCCTTCGACACGGTGAATCGTGAAGGACTGTGGAAGATCATGCAGAAATTCGGCTGCCCGGAGCGATTCACTCAGATGGTGCGTCAGCTGCACGACGGTATGATGGCGCGAGTCACGGACAACGGAGCTGTCTCAGAGGCATTCGCAATGACCAACGGCGTGAAGCAGGGCTGTGTGCTGGCGCCTACCCTCTTCAGTCTTATGTTCTCTGCCATGCTGATGGACGCCTACCGCGACGAACGCCCTGGAACGGACGGTCATCTTAATCACCGGCGCATGAACTTCCAATCGCGCGTATCCACAACCACCGTGCACGAACTCCTCTTCGCCGACGACTGCGCCCTGAACACCACCTCGGAAGAGGAAATGCAACGCAGCATGGACCTATTCGCCGCCACCTGCGAGAACTTTGGGCTGGTCATTAACACGCAGAAGACGGTGGTGATGCATCAACCGCCACCCAACTCAGTCACAGCCCCCAACGCGCCGCAAATCAACGTGAATGGGACTCAACTGCAAGTGGTAGACAACTTCCCGTACCTGGGCAGTACCCTCTCACGCAACACCAAGATTAATGACGAAGTCGCCAACAGGATCTCGAAAGCCAGTCAAGCCTTCGGTCGCCTCCAAAGCACAGTTTGGAATCGTCACGGTATCCAACTGAGCACGAAGCTGAAGATGTACAAGGCCGTCATCCTGCCGACGCTACTATATGGAGCGGAGACTTGGACGGTGTACACGAGGCAGGCACGCCTCAGTTGTCTTCGTCGCATCCTGAGGCTGAACTGGCAGGATCGAATCCCCGACACGGAAGTACTGGAACGAACGGGAATCCCCAGCATCTACGCCATACTGAGACAAATGCAGCTGCGCTGGAGCGGCCACCTGGTGCGCATGGACGACGAGCGACTACCCAAACGACTCTTCTACGGAGACGTCGCGACGGGTTCTCGTCGTCAAGGAGGCCAAATTCGCCGTTACAAGGATACTCTGAAGTCCTCCCTGAAGCGCCTGCAAATCAACCCGACCAACTGGGAAGATCTCGCCCGCGATCGTCCGACATGGAGGAGAACAGTGAAGACGGGCGCTGCTATCTATGAAGCCAACCGAATCGCCGCTGCCAAAGCGAAACGTGAAGCCCGCAAATCACAACTTCGCCCAGTCCGCAACGCCGCCGCACAACCTCCCCCTACGTGTCCTCGATGTCAACGGACATTCCCGGCACGAATCGGACTTGTTGGACATCTCCGAACCAACTATGCCTCTCGAACTGCTCCAGCCATCGTCCCCCCGCCCGCCTCTTCCTCGTCCTCTCTACCACCAACTAACTCTGATAACTCTTCTGAACCACCACTTCCATCCTCCTCCTCCTC